TGCACGGGCCAGGTCCAGAGTCAGGGGCGGTGCCCGGGCCGGAGTTTCCACTCGGCGCCAGCTCTTAAAGAGCCGCCATGCCTGCCTGAGGTGGCCCCTGATCTCTGGCCAAAAGAAGTGTAAACCACTGAGGCAGTCCGCAATCAAGGTTAGCGGCTCGCCCCGGACCCATTGAAGTTCGATCCAGTCTCTAAGGATTCCATCAAGATCGAAGAGGTTCTCCTGCTGTTCCAGGTACGGCAGGATGTGGGAGACTGCCACTTCAGACTGCCACTTCATAGCGTCGGCGGGTAGTCTCCGTCACTGTGTAGTCACGTAACCGAATGCCAGCACGTTTCCGTCGGCGATCGGCACGCGACCTGCCGGCCAGAAGGATGCGCGGCTGCCTGCCCGGCATCACTTCCGACTCGCGGCATCAGTGGGGTTCTCCAGGCTACCCACATGGCCATGCATGACCGTGCTCCCCAAAAACAATTGAAGGGCACCGATTTTCTTGGCCAATGGCTGCAGGAGGCGGCTGGAAGTCCTACCCTTTGTCAGTATATATACACAAACCATTGAATCCTCCAAGTGTAGCCAACGCTTATTAATTTTTGCGGGGTCCCTGCCTTTCCAAAGGAGTGTTAAGAAGATCATCTTCATCTCCAAAAAGTTAATGTGAGTGGGGTGTAACCATTGAACCTTGAAAAGGTGGCTCCATTGCCACCACCAGGCCCGCATGGAGCCATGGGACCCTTTTTTTAGTCATAGGTTCGCCAGTTAATAGCCGCACATCGGAACCCGTATGGTTTACCTGCAAGCCAAGGCACTGAACCAGCTGGTGCGGAACGACCTGGATGTTGTCCTCGCCATTGTCATAGGCCAGCCAGCGACCCATAGGTACCCTCTCGGACGGATGTGCAGAGGCTCCTGGAGCCAGCCCAAGCCGTCCGATAATATCAGAAGGCTTCATCCTGGGGAGGAAGGCGCTACACATGGTTGCCCCCATAATCGCAAAGGAAGGGATGGAGAAGCTGTCCCCGCACAAACTGAGCCTGCTATCCTCATAGGAAGTCCAATTGCTCTTAGCATCTGATGCGGACCGGCAGGTGGCTGTGTGGCCTGCACCGAGTCCCAGAAGGATTTCCCTTTCTGACGCATCTAAGAGCCTGGGCGCATGGTCGGGATGGTGCAGCAGAAACCTATCCTCGTATTGATAGGGAGGAAACCTATATTGAGCATTCTCCCAGCGCTCCTTTGCGGCCAGCCCGGCCTTGTCTAGGCCAGCTGGGAAAGGTGGTGGTGCTCGGCGCACAATGGATTTCATGAAGGTTGGATAGTTCGCGGTAGAGGCGCGAGTCCACCCTGGCCGGATCCATTGCGAATCAGCGACGGACCCTTGACTCACGTAGGCCCTCACGCAACCTTTTTCTCTCCAAAGGGTCAGCTCCTCCATGGCGAAGAGCTCCTCAGAGCACCAGGCCAGTCTTGGCCGATTGTAGGGGAGGGTGTCTGCCGGGTCAAGCTTGACCGGCTCCACCTCCAACTGTTGGCTGATCTCGTCACGAGCCATCTCATCCATGGACGCCACGTTCTCCACGCAGAACTTGACCTTGGCGGTGCCATTGAACGCAGTTTGCACCCATCCAATGAGTTCCAGGAGCCGCCAAAAGAGATTTGAGCCTTCGCCATCCAAGTTGCGGCGGTATGCCCTGACCCGGGACAGGTGTACACAGGGGAAACCCCCCCAAATGTGCACCTCGATCGCGCGCGGGTACTGGTTTGCCCAGCGCAAAACTGTGCCGAAGTCAATGGAATTTATATCATGAAATTCCTCGACATCGGGCCATGCGCTTCGGGTGACCCTATTGGCGTCTTTTGACACCTCAATGCTGACCTTTCCCAAGGGTCTGACACCAAGGATGTCGTATATGCGAAAGGCTCCGCCCACGCCATTAAAGGCAGAAATCACCAAGATGGGGCAAGCGATTGGTCCCTTATTGGGGCTGCGCGAGGACCTAACCAGAGAGCGCCCCGACCAACTCAGGCTCCTGGCTACCGCGGCCGCACCACCAAACTCTGAAGCATCCGAACAGGTGACCTCATCGTCATAGCAGCAGCGTAGGTCAGTCTGCACCAAGGGCGCCAAGCAAAGGAGCGTTTGCAGCTCTTTGTACAACTCCAGCTTGGCGCGTCCGCTCGGCCACGCAGATTCGGTTGCCTCCCAACTCCTGGAGAGCACGCCCATGGCAGCTCTCCTGAATTGTAACACGAACACCCAGCGGCCCAGTACCATCTGGATGGCCTTCCTGCTGACGGCCCCGCTACGCATGAGGTAGATGGTAGCAAAGCAAGTCCGCAGGATCCGCTCGGGCGAGCCGCCCAGCAAACCCTCTCGGCCATCAAGGCGAATCCCCAGTTCAACTGCCTCGGTAGCACCCAGCAGCTGCTTGTCTTCTGCAGTTAGGACACCAGTGTCATGCCACGCTTCCATCGCAAGCTTCTGCAAGTAGGTGTCCATCCCTTGATACTGACCGCCAGATCGCTCCACGGACATGAAATTGTCCAAATACACTTGCCACCAAGAAGTGCTGGCAGTAGACTCCGCAACCACCTTTGTAAACCATTGAGGCACCGCTCGTCCTTTGTGAAGTTCCAGATGCTGAGGTAGGCCCCGCCCTAAAAGGATCTGGCGAGAAATCATTTGCATAACCCCAACGGAGGAATTCCAGCCCATGGGAAGAACCCGGCAGGCTGGCCTGAACCAGCGGCCAGCTTCCCGTCCAAGGCGAAGGCCATCAACCCTGTAAGCAAAACTCATATAGCGTTGCCAGCATTTCGGAATGGCAAAGAGATAGAATGCAGCAGACATATCTCCTTGGGAGATGTGGAGGTACTCGCCAGCCTCTACCATCAACGGCAACCAAGCAGCTCCATGAGGTAGAAGATGAACGTCACCACATATCACCTGAAAAAGCCGGTTCGCCGGTATAAGGTTCATGATAACTCTCAGGACTGGTTCGCCCGTAGGCGTGAATTTACCTGGTTTCACAACCCCGAAAAGGCCATTCAGGCACTTTCCTAGCTCATCCCTGTAGACCTCTTCGGCCGGAATCCAGTCAATAACCCCTCGTGTTTCCAACAGCTTAAACACTGAAAACTCCTCCCCTTTTTTGATGTGGACCTTGGCCTGCATGTTGCCGGTTTCCCTTTCCCGCACTGGAAGCAACGATTCCCGCGGGTTTTCCAATAAAAACTTTGTACGGCCAACCAAAAAATCCAAAGCATCAATACATCCACCATGTCCTAGAGGAGGCAAACTTTTGACAATCTGTTCGGGGGAAAGAGGAAAAGGTTGTGAAACTTCTTCACCCGTGTAACTAACCCTTTTCTTTTTCAAGTCATCAACCACATCCAGAAAGTTAATAGCCCCAGGAGAATCCCCTTTTAGGAACCGCTGAATCTTCCCCCGTAAATTCTCCAACGCCGCTCTGTGAACTTTTCCAGGTCTGCGCACACAGGCTACCTGATCGCACCCGTAGTAGCTGTTTAAAGCCACACAGGCGCAAGTCACCCAACACTGGGTGGAAAACTCTGAACACCCACTGGCATGCTTCGATTGCCAGTCCTCGGAGAAACCATCTGGCCATGCGACAGGCAGAGGGAACAGCCCTCCAGAGCGGGGCTTGCTCACGGAGGGCCGTAGTGGTTCAGCACTGCAAGTCCCGAAGAACGAGTGCCCCTTCTGTATCCCCCATGCCAGCGCTATGCCGAGCTGATGCAAACTGCTCGACTGGGCCAGGAGTTCAAGCCACTGCGCCTGGTCTGAGGGGGCAGGGATAACATCCAGCCCCCCCCATCTGTCCCGGTATGGCTACTGCCCGGAAAGGCCATTGCTGCCTCCCCAGCATTGCCAATGCTGCTTTCACCGCACGGGTCAGGCTGCCCAGCGGGGACTTCGTCCGCCGGGCTCCCAAAAGAAATGGCCCGCCCCGTGACGGGAACGTAGTGCTCACTGTCATGCAATGCGGGGGGGGCGCTCGTCCCCACAGGAACAGCGCACCCCTCACCTGTAGGTGGCCTGGCGCTTTCAAAGGCAGCGCCAGGCTCAATAGATCTTCTCTTCAACCTGCCGCCCCCTCTCCCGGGGGCTTGCCTTCCTTCTTCTCCTTGTCGCTGCCTCCCCATGGCTGCCACCCTTTGTTCCCTTTTCCTTTTGGCTTTCCCTTCTTTCCTTTGCCCTTGCCTTCCTTGCCCTTTCCTTTGTTCTGGCCTTCGCCGCTCCAGCTCGAGGACCAATTTGAGGCCCTGGGCCAGGAGCCTTTGCCTCCGGCCTTCTCCACTTGCTTGCCATGTTTTTGGGCCGCAAGGAGAATATGGGCGGGCGCTGTGCCCTCTTCTTCTCCATCGAAGATCTCGAGGTGGCGAGCCGTCGACCATCCCTGCTTTGTCGCCGTCTCTACCGCGATCAGGCGCGCTGCAAGGAGGTCTGACAAGCTGTCCAGCTTGCCATCCTTGAGCATGTCTAGAGCCCGGCTCAGAAGAGCCAGCTCTTTGCAATCTCTTCCGCGTGGATCTAAGGAGGGCTTTAGCCCTAGCTGATAGTAGGTAAACAGCTTGGGCCGCCGCGCCAGCTCTTCGCCATCCTCTCTTCCTTCCACCAAGCCGTCCTGTGCAAGGAAGTCGAAGGCTTGCTGCTCGAGCATACGGAACACCGAACCCGGCTGGCGCTGGGACTTCCGCCGGAGCGGGGGTAGAAGTGAACTGCTCCCGGAAGAGCTGCTCCTCTTCGAGGACCCCGAGCTGCTCTCGCTGCGATCCCGTCGCTTCCGCTTCTTCTTGCTTTTCTTGCTGCGACTCCTCTCGCGACTCCTCCTCCTTTCCTTCTTGATGGTTGCCTTCTGATGGGCCACGGCGGCTTCCGCCAGCCCCGAAGACCTCCTCCTCTTGTCCTTCGCTACCACCGTCTCGGAAGGTGACCGCGGCCGGTCCTGCGTCAGGTCCACCGTCTCGATCTTGACTAGGTCCAGGGGAGAAGGGCCGCCTTCCAGCACACGTCTGGAGGCGTCCGACCTCCTCAATGCACCAGCCCTTGCACCAGCCGGCCTTCCAGCGGCACCCCCAAGAGTAGCTGGCGCGGCCGTGCCGGCGGCAAAGGACACCCTTGGTGAGGAACCCCTCAAGGCTGCCAGCCGCTTCTCGGTGTCGCTCTCTCCTGACCGACCTTCTCGTGGAGGTAGACGAGGATGCACCTCTTCCTTTTTCTTCTTTTCTTCTACCGCCATCTTGATGCCTTCCCTGATCTTTTTCAAGCCATACGCATTGACCCAGGGTGCACGGAAATCGCCCGGGGGATGCCACCGAAACTGCCGCACGTGCATTCCTGGCTCTTCTCCAATGGCGCAAGAACCGTCCCTTGTGCCATAACAGAGGTGCATCATCCTGCGGCCGCTCTTGAAATAGGCTTGCATCTCCTTTTTGTACTCTTCGACATCGGATCCCAGCACACTCACCCCCAGCCATAAGCCGTGACTGTCGCCCTCGCAAGAAGTGACTAGCACCGCCAGCGTGGCGCCGGCTCCGGCCTCGGCCGTGCTTGGACCAACAAGTTCCAGCACTGACCCCAAGGGCATGTGCCGCAGTCTCCAAAAAGCGGCCTCTTCCAAATTGTAATCCTGGGCGGTCGTAGGCCTTGCCGTGTCTGCCAGCGACTCTCGCACGGCATCCACGTACCCAGGGTCCCCGGGCAAAGGCGTTGCCAGCTCGGAGAAGTCGTCTGCGTCCTCTGCAGCGGTCGCCATTGCTCGTCTGAAGACGGCAATGGGTGCTTTCAATATCGCCGTGCCAAGCCGTCTTCCAAATTGGTCGACAGCTCAAGCAAATCTCCTCGGATCTTCCGGTGGCTCCTCCTGAATGGGTTCTCAAGGTCTTTGTACCTCCTTTGATGTTTGGTGCCGCCTCTGCGCTTCCGTTTGCTACCTCCTTCACGTGTCCTTCTTTTCGAAGACCTGCCGTCGCCTTCCCTGTGATGCTCTCGCTCTGGCCGTGGTGGAGGCCTCGCAGCGGGTGCACGTCCCGGCGGGGGTCCTTCCGGTTCAGGTGGCCGATCAGAGCTCCGTCGCTCTCTTTGCACCTCGGTGATGGGCTTGTCCTCCTCTTCTTCTTCCTCCTCAAAGAACTCGCTGTCCTCAGATTCCCTGTCAGACCTGGGTTCAGCCTTGGCCACTCGTCCAGGTGAGCGCGGCAGTGGAGGGCGCTCGTCACGCCTGGGGTTCCGAGAAAGGGCGACCCGGCTAGCCTTGGACTTGGCAGCGGTGGCTGGCGCACGGTCAGACGTTCCAGCGCCACCCACCACCAGGAGGGACTGGTCGAGGTTGGCCAGAGCCCGCACCACCCTGGCCGAAGACAGGAGGCACTCCTCAGCAACTGCTCGAAGTCCCACCTGCCTCCAAGGCTGCTTGAGGAGCCCCTGACTCAGCTCCAACGAGGAGCACCCCAAGCACCACGAATCTCCTTCTTGTGCCCCTCCCTGCTTACACTTGTTGCAGGGGGGAGGCATGCCAAAGCTTGAGCCCTAAAGCGACAAAAACACAAAAACTCAAGTGGATCAATCGTCCCAAACGTCGATGCGACTGTCAAGTATTATCATTATTGTATATATATATTATCATTATTACTGTTATCAATAATAATTATTGATATTATTGATATTATTTTCTATTATTACTATTATTATTGTTTTTAGCATCATTTTTACTATTAGTAGTAGTAGTAGTAGTAGTACAGCAGTAGTATGATTAGATGCTATTATCACTACTATCGGTACTATCATTGTTAGATAATATGAGTACTGTTGCTTATTATTTGATGGTATCATTACTATTATTATCATTGCTCCTATTATTGGTAACATGTTTATTGTTGACATTGATAATAAGCATGATTGTGACCAAGTATTGTTATCAGTTTCTATTGTCAGTTTCTATTCTTATTAAAATTGACAATAAACGCATAACAGAAATTGTGAGTTTGTTTATACGATAAAAGTAATGGTGTATTTGCAGTTGCATCAGAGAATGCAAGCACAAATTTGGACAATTGATATACATAACAACACAATAATTACAGTTGGAACTAAAGATATAAATATATAGTAATACTTATTGTCAGTTATAACTGTTCATTATATTATTACGATACAGTATGACCACTCAACCATATACATAACTTGACCCTTGACAATCTTGGAATGACAACCAATAACAAACATACATAACATCAAAGTGATATTGTGCCCTGATTCTTGTTCTCATTGTGACAAGATAGATAATTGTATATCTAGAATCTAGTTATTTGATATCAATTTGTATCTGTCTAACGATAATGATAATTACTATATAAATGACACGGTAATAATAATACAGGCAGGACCTATGGTTTGCCCGGACGTTATTGCGTGATTTTTTTGATAATTGTACATATGAAAGCATACCTTCTCGCCATTTGTTGTCGTTCATCTATCCTACTTGGATATATCAATGACCTATGATAATGACAACAATAGCATTGCTACATTTGAGCTGGCTGCATTAGCTCATAAACCACCAATCCTTAGCGGCATCATCTATAGCACGCGACGTCGCTTGTTGTGACAGCCAGATTGATCATACCTACTGGAAACATACGTCGCCAGATCCTCAAAGTACTCGTAAAATTGGTGAAAGAAATCGGGTCTAGGGAGTCTAGGTAGATACCATGTGTGGTCTTCTTAATCAATCATAACCTGGATAAGAACTAATGACAATGGAGCAGTGTTTAAAACCCTCTGTCAGTCCAGGAAAATACTGCCTGGGGGCCAGAACGGGATTCTCACAATGTATTGCAACAATCTCCAGTATATAAAGGGTGGTATAATCTCATGCCATCAACCAACCATCGTTTATCAATATTTATCAACTATATCAACTAAAATCCCATATGTTTGATAGTTAACTTCCATATAAATGTCATTTAAATCATCAACCAATCAGGCTGGATGCGTCGCCACTGCTCAATGCGGAAAGCTTCAGTAAAGGATGTCCGCCCACCACGGTGTCACTCGGAGCTTTTGATATGGGGAAGAATTGACAGTGGGAGATGATCTTAAGAAATGAACAAATGCTAGTACAAAATATGGATTGAGCTTGTCAAATACGTGAGATTTCCAGCATTTTTGTGTATTGCTCGATATGAACAATGAAAAACAACGTGTTATAACCAGCAGTGCAGGTTTACCGGAGATAGCCCATCATTTCTGTGCCTTGGTGGAGATCACCCGGTTGCGCGGCGCACCTCATCCTCAAAGAGCTGCTTCGGGTGAACCGAAATCAGCATGTCACAGAGCTGCGCTTGGCTCAGTTGTTCCACTTTGCGCTGCGCCCAGATCTGGGCGTTTTTGGAACTTGACGCCACCTGGAGCCAAGTCGGCGCTTCGTGAAAGCGCCATGGCCACGGAAAACATATGGGGGAAGAAGATGAAGTCTATGGCGATCTAAAATTGAAATATATATATATAACATATACACATACATATAATACATAATTATATACATATGATTGATAGTTTGAACCCATCTGAAAAAATATGCTAGCGTCGATTGGGATCATGGTTCCTTTCGCCAGTGTTTCAGCGCGGGAAACTGTTGATGTTCATACGCCGTGTTCAGGACCCCGGTACCGAACCCATATGCCGAAAAACATCACCTTGTACCCTCTGGTAAACATACAAAAAGCTATTGAACCTGACCCATTTATAGTTGATTTACCTATTAAAGATGGTGATTGTCCATAGTTATGTTAGTTTACCAGAGGGCAAATGACCTTCAACCACTTTAACCCCGCCACAAGTGGAAATCTATGTAAGAACCCCTGATTACTGTTTAAATACATCCCACAAAACATCGCCAATTTTAGATACCCTGCATTCAAAAAAACTGTTGTGATATTAAGGTTTAAGAAATCCCTATCAACTTACAGTAGTCGCTTCAAAATTTCCCTATCAACTTACTTGCTTCGAGCATCTTCAAAAAATCTTCATGTTTGTTTCTGAACTAGCTCATGTTCAAAAAAGAGTTATATTTCCATATTCCACCCTTTGTGGCCTTTTAAAAATGCGATCAAAAACTAGTTCTTCATGAGATATGTGCGCTATATATCTATGCAGCTTGCCACCTTGGGTACCCCTTCACGTTTTGGACCCAAGAAATCATATTAAGTTGGTGATATACCATCATTTGCCAATCTTTCTTGGGTTTGCTTAAGGACCTATATATATATTTATATATATATATATATATGATTGTAAATATTTATATAATTATACATTATTTCTTTATTTATATATATATGATATATATGTATATATATTTATATGTGTGTATATATATATGTATATATATATGTATAACTTATATTTATATATATATCTAACTGTATGTATATATATACATATTACCCAGTCGATTCCCCAGTCGTCGTGGATGTCCTGGCAAAATACAAAATCATCGACGCAGCAAATCCAAGTTAAAGATCACTGTTTCCCCCATTTTAAAGGTGGCCTTCGCCCCATGAACTGTGGATGGCAAAATCCAAAATCCTGCACCACCAGATGCTTGAAAAAACCCTAGAAAATCCTAGAAATAGTGGGATGCAGAATCCATCAACTGGTGCAGAATTTCGCTGGCCCATCTACAGTACTTCGAGATATCCATGATGCATAGAATTCACCGAGGCGTTGTCAAAATCCCATGATTCATCTAGGGGAAAAACACCTCTTAGAATCATCATTCATCAAGGGCACAATCATTTTTCCAAGGATTACCCTCTGGTAAACTAACATAACTATGGAAAATCAACATTTTTAATGGGTAAATCAACTATGAATAGCAATTTTCAATAGCTATGTTAGTTTACCAGAGGGTAGAAACCATATTCAGTTGGTGATATCCCATGTTTTACCTACTGGCTGAATGAATTATAGGAATTCACTCACCTGAAAATAGATGAAATATGATGAAACAATGCCATTTGGGGTGGTTTCCGTGGTTTCCCTTACCTTAATGCCATTCTTCCAGTGACGTGACGAAATCAGGTCATTACATGTCAGTATAATTCATCCAGATTTATACAAGGTGGGGCCCGCAGGCGATAGCTAAGTTGGTGCAAATATCTCCAATAACTGTTGGATTTTTGGTAGATATAACTAGAGTACTCATGGGGCGAACTTACATCAACAAACATAGCTGATATGACAAAATCACTACACTTTCATGGGGTTCCAACTTATTTCATGAACTTGGGGGCCTCACCTTGCAAGAGTGATATATTCATTATGGATTGGTTCAACCTTGATGATTCTTGGTCAATCTCGCGATTTGTCGTTCATTTTTCCCATTCAATCCCGTTGATAGAGTGGATTTATGTCATTAAAAATCCCATGAATCATCTAAGTCAGAGCTGGTTTATGGATGTGAATAAACCCCAAACTATGGTAAGAATTCATCAGCTTTGACCCATCTGTAAGAATCAATCTGTTTCTTAAATCCCATTGAACAAATCCCATTGAAATCCCATTCAATCCCATATAAATCCGATTGAAATAAACCCCCTATAAATCCCATACAAATCCCCTATAAATCCCATACAAATCACCTTTAAATCCCATTGAAATCCGAAAAAAATCATGTCGCACCTGCGGCAACTTCTTCGCCTCCGGCACCCTTCCAACGTTCGCAACGTTGACGACGCCGACTCGCCGCGGCCGCAGGGGGCGCACGCCCAGGGCGACGAAGAAGGCCTCCCAGGCGACAGGTTCGCCGTAGGTCCTTGGGAGAGTCACCCGGTTTTTTCGACAAAACCAGAGGCTTTTTTACAGCTTCAACTAGCAAAAGATGGGGTTGATGATGAAGTGTAATCCCTTCTCCCTAACACTAAACGTCCCCCCCTAATAATAAACACTGCAAGTTGGTTTTAGGATTAGGGGGGTATTTATTATTAGGGAACCAAATCGAAGTCATGTTTTTCATGCATTATAATGGAGGAAGGGATAAAAATCAATTAAATGTCTTTATATAACGCAATTAAAATATTGCCCAAAATGAGATTTCGAAGCTTCCCCCAATACTACATTAAAACCCTTAATAATAAAATATGTTTTTTTCGATCTCAAAATCAATTAAATTTCTTTATATAACGCAATTAAAATATTGCCAAAAATGGGATTTCGAAGCTTTCCCCCTAAAACTAAACACCCCGGGGTTGACTAGTTTTTAGTATTAAGGGGGGAAACCCACAAATGGTACGTTGATTTTTAAATTGTTTTCTAAAGGGGATCAATTAAAAATCAAATTGGCCAATCTGAAATTTTCAAAAATTGGAGATGGACACTAATTTTTAGTATTAGGAGGGGTTTAGTAATAGGAAGAAGGGATTAACTATATGAAGAAATAGCAAGATCTGCGATTTAGTGTGGGATTGAAGTATGGAGGATGGGCTAGGGGATGAAATCGTACCTTTATAGTGGGATTTAATGGGGATATACAATAAATATGGGATTTATATGGGATTTAAGCATGAAACATATGGATTTTAACCAGTAAACAATGCAAAAATGGTGAGTATATAAACAAAAAAACTCATGGAGATTGTAAAGGATTACATTGGTTTTTATGCGAGATTTGGATGAATACCAGGGGATTTACAATTGGAAAACCAACTTGGATATTTTGAGCAAGAAGAATTGGAAATCAAGCAGCAGAAATGGGCACTTAGGCAGCAAACATTGGAAATGAGCAAAAACTAGATGAGTTTTAACTCAATGGCTTGGTTTCGTCGGTAAAATCTTAACCGGAACCATGCTTCTTACCCCCTTTTTTGTTGAGGTTTTCTGTAATGTTCCCATCATCTCCAATTCTGGGGGAAGGGATGCTGGACGGCTTTGACCAATCAAAATGGAGAAAAAACTACCAGAAAAAAATGCGGTGCCTTTGACCAACAGGAATGGGACATTCACCAGAAATAGGAATTTCACCAGCAAACACTCGAGATTCACCAGCAGAAATGGAGATTCACCAGCAGAAAAATCGGATTCAACCAAGACAAAAAGGCTGCTCACCATTTTTTAAAAAATACCCGGCCTGGTAAACTAACAGTTTGCTATGGAAAACCACCATTTTTAAGTTCGGTAAACCCTCTATTTCTATGGGCCATCTATACCATAGCTTTTTGTATGTTTACCAGAGGGTATCTGCATCGAGGCCACCGGGTCAAGCGGCTTTGCTGCCTTGGCCCCCCAAAAAAATTAAGCTGGATCTCCTATATACAAGGCGGTGTTTTCCCTCCCAGTTATAAAGTGGTTATAAGACCATGAATACTATAGTTACTATAGATATATCACCAACAAAAACTGTTTTGTGAGTTCTTGGAGTTATTTGCACGCACCAACTGAACGCGAGCTCGAACGGGGGCACCATCCTGTATATACG